AAAGGTTCTACTTCTACTTACTCCGTAAAACTAAAATCATGATTTGTTTACTCTCTAACTTCGAAATATCCGTTGTAAAACCGATGAAAATATTTTAAAGAAAGGTTCTACTTCTACTTACTCCGTAAAACTAAAATCATGATTTGTTTACTCTCTAACTTCTAAATATCCGTTGTAAAACCGATGAAAAAATTTTAAAAAAGGTTCTACTTACTCCGTAAAACTAAAATTATGATTAGTTTACTCTCTAACTTCTAAATATCCGTTGTAAAACTGATGAAAATATTTTAAAGAAAGGTTCTACTTACTCCGAAACTAAAGAATTGTTCCTTTTCTCGGATGTAAACTGGTAACGAATGGCCTCACTCTTCAGCTGGACAGTTTAGTTATGGACAGTAACTTATAAATTAAGATGCAACAGATTTTGTTCCACTTGACAGTTTTCTCTTTTTGATTAACTCTCTATTCTAATAGGTGGGGTGCAATAGCTTCCGTTCTCTGAGCATGCAGCGTGAGGTCCAACTTTATAAGTACACTTTCCACAAGAGGGCGTTAACTCTTGTCCAACCAATAGCAAAGACTTTCTTGACAGTTTCTTCAGGCCTCGCCCCCGTGTAAATTATGGAAGCAGGCTAGAGCTAAGCAGTTCAATCCTCAACGCCTACATACCCACAAACACATTTAAACTCAGCTAGTTTCGACCAACTCATGTTTCCATTTCTATAAATGCGAGAAATGTTTTCAAGGTAGGGTGAGTAGCATAAAAAATGGATTGAAAGTAGTCAGATAATCAAATAAATAATATCAGTACCAATTTTACTACTCGTACCCCCCTTCTAAAAATTTACTTATCGTTCTGTTTAGTTTGGTCTCTAGACAAGTTCAGAATTATTTCTTTTTTGATATCTAAGTACAGATAATAATAATAATATTGATCTTTTTATGTGTTTCACAGTAGCACAGCGATATGTCTGCGGACTTACAACGCTAGAATCCGGGTATCGATACCCGTGGTGGGCAGTGCACAGATAGCCCATTGTGTAGCTTTGTGCTTAACTTCAACAAAACAAACAACATTCTTATAACATTAATCTTTTATATGTGTTTCATAATTACCGGATCAGTAATATGCTCTGATCAGGAATAGGCTTAAAAGGTGAACTATATACGGTTTCCTTGAGCTCTGTTGTTTTTAGCCTACATTAATTTCCAATAATGGAAATGTAAGAATACGGTGACTTAAATTAGTCGTCAAAAATAACTTTTAGTCTCTCTAATTCAGAAAGATAAATGTACGATCATCAAATGTTAGGGTTAAGTACTCTAGCACTTAGCAAAAAATGAAATGTTTTTTGTCAGTTATTTGGTGTAACAATTCTGTGTAGCATGACTATGGTTAGAATAATTACTCCACTCGTGTGGGAAATTTCGAATGCCTAATCATATAAAAATACACATTTAAAATTAATTTACAAAGTAAGCGGAAATTGTTGCAGAAAATCAATTACGAAGTAAATCTGAGCCAAATATTTTTTTTTTTCAGTTAGACTTGAATATAACTTAATAATATCTGCTAGAGCAAGACTATCTACATTCACTTCTAATAGTATAGGCCCCCAGTAGCACAGCGGTATGTCTGCGGACTTACAACGCTAGAATCCGGGTTTCGATACCCGTGGTGGGCAGAGCACAGATAGACCATTGTGTAGCTTCGTGCTTAATTTCAAATAAATAAATAAAATAAACTAATAGTATATAAAGCCCCTATCGTGGAAACGCCTATAAACCATAGGGTACCAGAGGCATTATCTTCTGATGTGTATGAAAAGTTTTGTAAAGAAATAACTTCTTTGTCAGTTAAGGTACATTCAAATCTCTCCCTGATCTCCAATACATGTTTTTCCAATCTAATCGTCCCATTTTATTGCGGTAAGTTAGCAAATATATACAAGTATGTATCGTTTCATCAAGGTATACGTACTATTATAATTTTCGAATATTTGGCCTAAGTTTACTTGTTGATTGTTACGAATTGTGTCTTTGATAATGTCAATGTTTGCTCAAGTGCTGTCGATGGAACACAACCATGTTACTGGTAATAAATACCTTATATCCCAGTGTCACTCTGCACAAAAAACAAAACAGAAAAAAAACAAGAACGTGAAATCAGCGAGAATTAAATCGACCATTTCACAAGATGACTATCATGAAAAAGCAAAAAAAAAGTGTAAAAATTACCCATTTGTAATCATAAATCTCAATTCTAGTTAAAATAAAGATTAAAATTAGCTTTTTCTAGTTATTGGAAAATTCACTTCCTATGGTTGGGAGCCGTTTTACCTATAGAGTTGGATAAAACGGCCCCCATCTAATCCATAACATTTAGCAACTACATTTTAATCACTTAATATCATCATTTAAATGATCCCCTTTAAAAGCGAACGTTAACTATGTTTATTTTACGGCATATTCGGTTGTCCATAATTCTTCATTGTTTGAATTCAACAACGGAACAATTCCCTGAAGTATCTATTTTGTAACCATGAAATATTTAAAATACTTGTCTTAAATCAACGTTATTCAAAAGAAAAAAAATTGAAGTCGCGCTTTTATCATTCATATGTGATCCCATCCGCCAGTACATTTAAGCAAAGGGTCATGTGAACAATAGCTACATATTATTCATTTATTCTAGATGGCAGCACGATATAACTGCTGATATATAGGATGGCCGTTTTATCGAAGGGGACCGTCTTACCTCAGTTTCCCCTATGTTAATTGCAAGTTTTATCTTAGTCAAGCAATAAGCATATGTTGTAACATAGATAAAGTATTTTCTCGACCTTGAAATCATCAGTGGGAAGTCTGTGTTAATAACAGCATTACATGAAATAAACACACAAACAGACAATAAGAAAATAGTTTCCTTTAAAGATGGTGGTACTCTTTTAAGAGCAACTTTAAAAGTATAACAAACAATGCTTCAGTGTCGGGAGTCAGCATGGCGAGAGACACAAATAAGAATTAAACTTATATTTATCTCAAAGCTACTCGAAGGCTATCTGTGCAAGCTGTCCCTACTTTTGAAGAGACTACAAGGAGGGTAGCTGGTCAACACCACCCACCGCCAATACGTGAGCCACTCTAATCAAATAGGGATTTTTTTACCATCACTCTTATAACGCACCCACTGCCACAAAATGTCAACGGCAACGAGGCGCAATGAATCCACAGTTGGGCACGCTGCCCCTGGGCTACGCCTGGCCCAAATTATATAATATTATTGTTTTCAAATGATATTACCTAAGAAATAACTTAAATTAGGAACACGTATTGCTATATTGTCATGCGTCTATAGCAACTAAACCTTGTATAGGATTGTTTTTGTAACAATATTATTCAAGAAATTACCTAAAGTATATATATATACATATGACTTGTTGTATAATTTCCATTGTTACGTGTGTCTCTCACCACACAGGGTATATACGACTTTAGCAAACATCACATGAAGAAGGGTTTAGGCCTAAAACGTTGTGTGAAACTAATGTTTTCCTAGTGTTATTAAACATCGCATCTATTGTTCTTATTTCTTCAGACATGGAGTATATTCAGTGACCCTGAAATATTGTTTCAGGTTCTTTTAAACCTGTTTTTCTCGTGAGCTCCAAGATCATGATGATGGCTCTAAGATGCCCCCTAGTGACACAGCGGTATGTCTGCGGACTTACAATGCTAGAAACCGGGTTTCGATACCCGTGGTGGGCAGAGCACAGATAGCCCTTTTGTAGCTTTGTGCATAATTAAAAAAACGAACAAAACAAACGGATCTAAGATAGGATCGAGAGCTAGACATGATGATGGCTCTAAGATAGGATCAAGAGCTGTTAGTAATGTTTCGAACGTACAGATGACCCATTGTTTGTGTATTACTAATAACTTATCCCACGATTTTCTAATGATATTTCGAGAAGTTCAAAGTACTTTGTTTAATCAATAAACAACTGAATTCTATAATGTGTTATTTTGTTTCTCCCGTTTAGTTCACGGCTGTTTATTTATTTTTACAAATTCCGTTTTATAGATTTTTGAAATAGAAATATGAAAAAGTGAACCATTGTCTTCTACGTGTTGACATACGTGAGGATATAACGAATTTCTTCAAGTTTAAGAACGGTTTCAACCACTGTTAGTAATTCAAACTTTACAACTGTTCGGGCACCAAAATGTACACTCTACGTACTGCAGAACGATAGCTCGACTTTATAACTCAGTGTGCCCGGCATGGCCAGGTGGTTAGGGCGCTGGACTCGCAATCTGCGGGTCGCGGGTTCGAATCCCCGTCACACCAAGCATGCTCGCCCTCTCAGCCGTGGGAGCGTTATAATGTGACGGTCAATCCCACTATTCGTTGGTAAAAGTGTAGCCCAAGAGTTGGCGGTGGGTGGTGACGACTTTCCTCTAGTCTTATACTACTAAATTAGGGACGGCTAGCGTAGATAGCTCTCGTGTAGCTTTGCGCGAAATTCATAACATACCAAATCAAACTTATAACTCAGAAGCGTTGAGTATGAATACAAGGAGACTGTTGAACAGGATGCACTCTTTTTTTGAAATATAGTTCGCTATTCTGAGTGAACTCTAGTTTCCGAAACTCGTTCGTAAAAAAACCCAAGCTATCTAATTTAAAAGCGACATCTAGTGAGGCGTTAGTCACAACTTGACAGAGAATATCGCAACGCTCCAGAACAATACAAAGTTGAAGAATACTCTCAATGACGACAAGTACGTGTTACTCTTCAGATTTTCTGTCACTAACAGAGTTTGCAGAAATCCAACTTTGTAATAAACGATATTATACAAAGAGGAAGTGCGTCATAGTGGAAAGACTTAAGAGGGTTTAGAGCTTCAAGGAAGCAATATATCTGCAACAGCACGCATAACTAAACAAAAACAACAACAGAAACGAAAAGACAATTCGCTTGGCTTTGAGTGGGCGTTTCCTACTACACTCCTGTTGAGTGATTGAGAAAAACCTTTGTTCTGCTGAAGTCTGAAATTGGTTTATCAGAATTACAAAATACTACAGCATTCTCTGTCAAATTGTGACTAACACCTCACTAGATGTCGCTTTTAAATTAGATAACTTGGGATTGGTTTATCAGAAATACAAAGTACTACAACATTCTCTGTCAAATTGTGACTAACGCCTCACTAGATGTCGCTTTTAAATTAGATAGTTTGGGATTGGTTTATTATAATTACAAAGTACTACAACATTCTCTGTCAAATTGTGACTAACGCCTCACTAGATGTCGCTTTTAAATTAGATAGCTTGGGATTGGTTTATTAGAATTACAAAGTACTACAACATTCTCTGTCAAATTGTGTTAAAAACGTTTATGAGTTTATCGACTTATCAAAGTATTTGTTGCGCCTTAAACGTTAAGGATCTTTCAATGTATCAGAAGTAATTTTTCGGAATAACGTTTTATTGTTTGTATTTAAATA